TATATAATATATAAACTTTTGACAATCTGAGTTTCCAATGAGTATTTGCAATAAGTTATCAAATAATGATTTTATATATGATTTTTGAATTGTAGTAATATCGCTTACATTGCTGTAAAAATGCCAACTGGTTATGTTTTGAGTGTTCAGGTAATGTATTTCCGATTTTAAATAAAATTGAATTTAGACATGCAACTCAAATATTTTTTTCACGATCACAAAGTAAATAATAAGAGAATATCATTGGTTTTTCACTCTTTGATGTTTTCTTCAATAATTATGACTACGACAATGCCGTTCATCCTCAAAACAATTATATATGCAACTATGATCTCATTGATACATTTAATTACCAACAATGCATCTTCATTCAGTCTTTTTATGAATTCCCAGTCTTGTTAATCACTTACTGATTTATTAAGTAGTCTGAATCATAATGTTTCTTCAATTTGTTTTACAGGAACATTTTTCAACGATAAGAAAACTGATTTCTCATTTTATAACATTCCATGATATTCTCTTATACATTCGTCAAGATCAAATAGAGCAGGTGTTGTCATATTCCCAGTCCACTCTCCAATATTCCCTTCATAATGACCCCTCCCCTGTAATGTCTTCAAAGTGCGGAATCTGTCTTATTGAAGTCAAAGCTGAGCCTAAGATTATTATTTTAGGTGCAGTATATCGTTTGCCTGAGTTATCCTTAGTTACAAACTCTTCTCTTCTCTTAGACATCATGAATAATGAAGACAAAATGACATATTTCTGGATATAAATTTACTAAAATGTAGCATTCACAAACAAACTTCATGTAAATTCTGTGTGGTGTACCGCGATGTTTCATACTTGGCCTTTATTACATTTAATGATCTTCCAAACTCCTCTTCTCTTTAATATTTTGTTCTGTTTGTGGATGACACCAATATCTTAGTGTACATCAAACACTAAACCATTATTTTATAAATGTAACGTTCTCAACATTTTTGACTTAAAATATATTTTACAAACTTATTCCTTTAAGTACCACTTTAAGAATAACACATTACCCTCACATATTCCTTCATTATTTCCTGAACAACCATCTGATGTCCATAGCTACAAAACCAGATTTGGAAAATGTAATGTTACATCTGAAAAATATATAACTTCTGCCAGGAAATAATCTACGATATATTCTTTAATGGTCCAGTGAAAATATTTTATTATACAAATTATCATTAGCTTATTGTTAAAGAAAAATGATGACACTTGGTTGCAGCATATCTGTATTCCTTTTAACTGGACTACCTCTAATTATCTGTAGTCCATAATATGGTTTTCATGCCACTTTAATGTATTTTTTTCATCGTATTTTTTACTTTTTTTCTATTTTGTTTCTTTTTGTAACTCTGATTTTAACCGGTGACCATGCCATAAAGTTTGTTTTCAAACCTATTTTGGTGTCCATCCACACACGTTTATTTACTTATTTCCCCACCCCTCCCCCCAATCCTTTGTTTTAAAATTATTTATAAAATATATTGCATATATTACTTTAAATTACTATAATTTTGAAAAACAATGAACAAACAAAAACAATTCCACTGTAAGTGGTCATCCTACAACATGTCAAATGCAAAACAAACATCAATTCAAAACTATCATTACTGTAATAAAATTTAAAGTAGAACACTAAAACTTTTTTTTTCTCTTTTGTGGGGTAACCACCACCACCTTTATTCATTTTTCATACAATCAAGACAGTTTGATATTTCTCCATTTTTCTGGATTTTCATTTTTATGTACTTGCACACTTTTTTTTAAAGCTTACATTCTTTTTGTTAAAGCGTATCTTTGGATAATAACGCACTCATTTCTATAAAATAGTTAAATATAATAAAAGCATGAAATAAAATTTTATATAAAAATCATAAAAATTATATAAATAAATGCTTTTTACATATCACTTACTGACTATCACTGCATTCTTTTTTTTTTTGCTTTTTTTAATTTTTTTAATTTTTTTTTATTTTTGAGGATTGTTATGATGCACATTATAATATATATATATATATATATAAAGCATGAAATAAAATTTTATATAAAAATCATAAAAATAAATGCTTTTTACATATCACTCATTGACTATCACTGCGTTATATCTGAACAAGATACAATAATGTTTGTACCTTTTTTTGTTTTCTTTCTTTTTTTTGTTTTTTGTTTTGTTTTGTTTTTTGTTTTGTTTTTTTTGTTTTTTTGTTTTTTTTGTTTTTGATTTTTGAGGATTGTTATGATGCAAATTATAATACTGTACTGTTGTTGTTTAATTTTAGTTTTACAATAAATTTAATAATAATTAACTTAATTAAATAAATAATTTTATACCATTGTAACCTGTACTATTTTTAGTTCCATTTAATTCAAAGCAACATATATTTCTTTTTACAGTAATAAATAATATTGTGGAAAAGGCAAATTTCAGTAAGTAAAGCTATTTTAAAGCTGCCAAACAATTTAAAATAAATAAAGAAAAATCTAATATCTATCTAAAATCTAATATATATATACTGTCTCTTATACACATCTAGATGTGTATAAGAGACAGGTTAAGTACAGACTCGGAAAGGAAACAATGTCCTTGGGTTATGTTTTTATTGGAATTAAAGAGTTTAATAAGCTGTGATTTCTTAATTAACAATGAAAAAGCAAAAAAGAAATGGTCAATGATTGACCTTAACAGAATGAAAAAATATTATATTGGTTAAACTTGGTGAAAAAAATTTCACCATATTATAGTCTGAAGGGAAACTATTTCGAAAAAATAATGTAGCCTATAAATATTGTATATACACTGTAGTGTTTATAAATACAAGCGAACAAACTTTAAAAAAATAGGCTTAAACAAAAGCTTGACCTTTTATTATATTCTTTATTAAAATGACAGAAAACAAATAGAAAAAATGGCATGGTAATTGTACACCTTGACCGATGTGCATAAATTTCAAGTGAAAGTAAAAAGAAAAAAGAAAAAAAAAATTGTTAAAGATATTTTAAGAAGCCATATTGAACAACTCTTTACAAATTATACTGTGAATGCTGAACTTATGAATAAAAGTGGGACGACCCCACAAAAGAGAAAAAAAGATACTTAGAAATTATTGGAATTAGGCAAGTTTAACTGTATAGCATAATCGCTCCTGTAAAAAAAAAAATTATATAACCGACCTACTCAGACTGAAATTATATTGTAGTAGCATACAATATGATTATGAAGCATAATGTATTTTTTATCTAAAATAAAAAAGGGAAAAAATGTTACAACTTGTCGTATAAAATCTATTTTTTATTTTATTGTCAAACAATCGTCCAACAGGAATGCATTGTTCCAAATTACAGGTGAAAAACATAAAAAATATAATCAAAATTATGAAATCACAAGATATAAATACATTTTAAAATATTATTACTATAATTTTATTGATAAAATTCATCGGTTTTCCAAATTAATTGTAGAAGAATATATATTATAAAATCTATATTAATATTAATTACTTAAATATAATAATACTTAAATTTAAAATAAAAATCAAATGAAATTCCAGTATTGTACATTTATAATGTATCATATTATGTTGAGTATGAATTGAAATTATATAAATATCCTATACATAGGCCTATGTTTCCTACTTAAAAAAAAAAGAATTTTTTACACAATATTTGAGTTCAACACTTTCATGACATTAATAGTTAGATAGAATTAGCTATAGTCTATATTAACAAGTCATTGAGAAGAGTAAAAAAAAAAGAAAATAAAAAAAAGGTGAATTATCAAAACATGTCACCTGCTCTCTCCTCATCTCACTTAACCTCTTTGTGTGTCATGAGGCACATAAGGTCAAAAATCATAATAGTAATGCAGTATAATTGTAGGGTTTACTGTACACTAATGTAATTGATGTATTGATGAATGAAAGAGGTAGTTATGTTATGTGTCATCACCAGGAATGAGCATACTATGGAAAAATGAAGAAGATAGACCTAGTAACTTTGGTTCATCTCCCAGAAATTCCACATTTTCTCCCATCTCCCAGAAATTCCACATTTTCTACCAGAATTTGAATTTCTCTTGGATTTTTCTCTAGGATTTAAACAAATTTTCACAATTGTAGTTTTTCTAAAGCTAAATATTCCCATTCTTGTGCATTTAATATGATAGTTATACAAGATTTATTGAACGTTCTAGGCAGCAATAAGGTATTAACAGAGACCTAAACCTGCCTAAGCCTCTTAGTGTTTATATTGAACATGGCGAATAATTTGTACACATGTATTTGTACATGTGTTTCAGCTAATACAGGCGTAGCAAGCCTCTGCATTTCCCACACAACAAATTCTCCAGGTATTTGAATTTCACAATTTGGGATCCCTGTCCATCAAATCATATAACTAACCAGTTAAAACAGGGCTAGGAATGCAAGCTTGACCAAAAATGCATGCATTTACGCTATTTTTGTTGTGATCCTGTACCAATAGTATAAAAGGGGAGGGGCTCAGAGGTATGGTCCATGCTATACCTCTTTACAGAAAGTTTGAAAAAAAAATTATTATTTCACGAATAATCAAAATCACAATTGTCAAACAAATATAATATATTTTCCGCTACTTACCACTAACTGGACAACATCAGCAATGGTTGAATCTTCATGGACTCCAAATGGCACTCTTTGATCCTCAAACTTTACGACAACATCCACTATATTTTAGAAAAATGCCATAATAAACGTTATTGTC